TTCCCGTGTCGAGTGGGTTGCACACATCAGGCTGCACTACCCCCTGTGTGTGTTGCAGACGGCCATCTCCCCTGTGCGCTTCAGCACACTAAAAGAGCAATCTCTAAAAGAGCATTCATGGGTGGACGTCTTTTTAAAGATGACCTTCCATCCGTGCGTTTCTGGATGCGGTCATTTCCTGGTGCCGGGTGATGGTCACGATCGCTGCCTCGCGTGTCTGGGCGTTAAGCACGCTGAGGCGTCGTTTGTAGAAGAGTCTTGCTCTCATTGCGGAAAAATGACCGCCGCGGAGTTGCAGACCAGGCTCCGTTTCCTGCAAAGGGGCGGGGTTCCTGTGCCTCTGCCTAGATCTAGTGTTCCCCCTGGCAAAAGCCAGGGGTGGGGGTGCTACTTCTGGCAGTAGCCAGACTGGTCTTACGGTGATGGTGAGGAATTCCCCTCAGAGGAACCAACCTCTGAGGGCTCCACCTTCCACCAGCACTTTGCAGCCAGTCGAGCTGCCCAGGGAACAGGCTGGACCCTCTCGTGGGGTACCTTCGGCACTCCCCCGGCGATCCGATGTCGATTGCTGCATCGGAGACCTTTCTGGAGATGATGATCCGGCAGTGCTGCCGCCTTCTGGGCGGCCAGCAATACCGGATATGGATCCGGAAATGGTGGCTATGCTTGCCCGTGCCGCCGAGAGGGTTGGGCTCGAGTGGAAGCCTCCACCGCGTCCTGAACCCTCGCGGCTGGACGACTGGTTTCTCGGGGTGGCTCGCGCTGGTTCTCAGGGCCCCACCCCAGTGCCTTTCTTCCCGGAAGTGCATGATGAGCTCACTGGGTCGTGGACGGCACCTTTCACTGCCAGAAACCACACCGGTGGCACATCCTCCCTCACCACCCTCGACGGTGGGGCAGCGCGGGGTATACGGAAGTCCCGGGTTTATGTAGGACCAATAGATTTTAAAATTATTTTATACCAGCTGCCATCAGTTTTTTAAATTACAAATAATTTTATGTATATTATTAATGGAAGTCATGTTTTTTTTGTTGTTTTTTTGTCTGTGTGTTGTGGTGTTTGTTTGTTGACTGTATATGGTTTACTGCTGGCTGTGAAACAAATTGCCCTCTGGGGATAATAAAGTTTACCTTGACCCTCCGGTGGAGCGGTCGGTTGCGATGCAATTGTGTCCAAATACCGCAAGACACATAAGCAGTCACTCCCCTCCCAGGCCTGTAGGTACTCGTCGGCCCTGACCGGCAGTGCTTATGCGGCCTGCGGAGAAGCTGCCTCCGCCCTACACGCCATGGCATTGCTGCAGGTTCATCAGGCCAAGGCACTGAAGGACTTGCACGAGGGTGGGCACGACCCAGAAGTTCTTAAAGAGCTCCGCACCACTACTGACCTCGCGCAACGGGTGACGAAGGTCACTGCGCAGTCTCTGGGCCGTGTGAGGTCCACTACGGTGGTCCCGGAATGCCATCTCTGGCTGTGTCTGGCCGTCATGAGGGAGACCGACAAGACTTGGTTCCTAAATGCCCCCGTGTCCCAGCAGTTCTCCGCCGCACAGAAGCAGACAAAGGCCATCAAACACATCCTGCCCCGGCGTGCAGCTGCTGCCTCC